GGGCCGCCGGCTCACCATGTAGCTGGACCGAGCGAGGTACGCTGTCCCACGGGCCTGGGGCTCCGGGCACCTCGGGGGGAACTTCACCAATCAGAGCCCGACTCTGTTCTGACAAACAGCCCGTGTCACCAATCATCCAGCTTGAAGCCAGACTCACGAGGGACAAGGGGTCGCTAGCACTGCATGCCGGTAGTTGTAGTTCGGAGACGCTCTAGCGCTCAGACCGAGGTTGAGTTAAGAGCGTGTCTGGGACCCTTATGTGGCCGGCCTCTCCGAGACTTGGTCTTCTCACCTGCACTTGTCTCGCAAGTCACAGGTGAATAAACATTCTGTCATTCACGTACTGTCTCCCGCTGGAGGGTTCTGCGTGTGGAACTCCCCTGATCAAGAACATTGAATGGCTCCCACTAACTAGACTCCCAAGTGCTCAGACTCAATTCAGACCCCTCTGCCAGACTTCAGTCGGCTTCCAGCATTACTGTACTGGCCATGCTCTCTCATACCTCCAGGCCTCTGTCTTCCATTTGGAATGCCTCCTTTTTCAATCTTTTTCACCTGGCAAAAGTCTTATTCATCTCTATCAGCCAGGAAGGACTGGTTAGGAGCCACAAAAAAATAAAAAACAAAAAAAATACAGTCAGTCTAACTCAAATAGGCTCCAAAAAGCTAAAATTTGTGCTCACATAACAAAAAACTCGAAAAGTATTCAGCTTCATGCATGGCTTGGATCAAGGACAAAAAGTCAGCCTCAGGAATCTGATGTTTTTTGTTTCCAGGCTTGGAAGAAAGAGCTTCTAGCATAAGCGCCTAAGTTTTGCCATCTGTGTTTCTGTGGATATGCCTGAGTGTGGACACATATGTGAGTGTAACGAGATGTCTGAGAGCCTGTGAGTGGGGCGTGTGGAGTTGACTGCCTTGTCTCTGTGGGTGTTTTTGTGTTTATGAGCACATGCGGACGTCTGGGGATGCACTATGACCTTGGTCCTCTGGACTCAGTGTCTGGAGAGAGGATGGGTGATCATGTTGGGGAGGGTCAATGGGGTTTCTCAGGACCTACATGGGGGCCATGAGATGCCCCTGAGGACCAGGGCACACAGCTGGGATTTGGTTTCAGGGAAAAGGCACCAAGAAAGCAAGCAGGGGCATTTGCACATTGCTGGGGCAGGGGAAATGGCACTGACTCATGTGCTCTCTCCAGCAGGCCAGGGTGGCAGAACGATTGTCATTCCATTGATGAAGATACTGAGGTTCTGAGAGGCCCAAATTTCTACTTCACACTCTGACCTCTCCCCCTGGGCCCAGGCTTAGGGGTCTAGGTGTCACCACACCCCCACATGGTAAATGACATCCTGGTCACCTTGCCTCCCCCACCTTCCCCATCCTTCAGGTGTTTATCCACAAAATCTGCAACTGTCTTTGACTGCTGTCTTGCCCCAGACCTGATCTGCCAGCCTCCCCCCGATGGCTCCACCTTCCAGTGTGTTCACAGCCCCACCCAGCCTTCGCCTTGCACCCTCCACTTATTTCAGCTTCCATCACCTCTCCCCTGCAGCTCCCTCCTCCCTAATATCTGGCTTCCATCTCCTGCCCCCAGCCCCACCCCTATAGTCTATTTTCCCCTGAGCAGCTTGAGGGTTCTAGTTAAGACTTGAGCCAGATCATGTCCCTCCTTTGCTCACAACCATCCATGGCTCCCACCTCACACAGAGCAAAAACCAAAGTCTACGTTGGAAGGTCCATATACTCCATCCTTCATTGTTCAACACCTCTGTTCTACATTGGACATTCCCCATTCTATATTCTGCGTTGGATGTGCATGCTGTCTGTTCTGCATTTTGGACGTTCCTTGTTCTCTCGTTTCCATTGGAGGAACCCACATTCTGTCCTACCCTGGCTTTGCCATGTTATCTGAGCCTCACTGGATGCTCCCAACATCCACATTAACGTCCCACATTCTCTGACTACACTGAGATCCATGCTCTCATTGCACCCTGACCATTCCACTCTATTTATGGTGTTCTTGGAAATTCACCTCTCAGATCTCTGACTTCTGTCACTACGTATGTGCCCAGGCCACGATTCCCAGGGTGCTTCCAACCAGTGACCAAACTCCTGGGAGATTCAGGGCCCTCCTGATGGTGACGTTGGCCTGCCCAAGATCACTGTGGTGTCCTTAGTAAATCCTGGGTGTAGGACACTTCCACACAACCCTCCCTGCTTCCTTCCCAGCAGAGCTGGGGTGTGGACTCAGAGGTGTTTCCAGAACCTGGGTAGTCTGCCCACTGTCCCCTCATGGACCAGGACACCCCAAGCTATATAGTATAATAACGCCAGGCACAGAGCCTGAAAACGTGCGGCAGAACCCTTGGAAGCCCAAATGGACTTTATTACTATTTCATTTTTTGCTTCGGAGAGGGGAGCGCAGAATCCAAAGCACACTATCTGGCGCCACCTAATGGCAACTGGCGAAAGTGCAGCCTCCCGGACTTGACGCAGAACCAGGCCCTGCCCAACCCCCACTCCGCCAGCCTTTGAAAACAGCCAACATCTTTATGAACCCCACACTGAGTTCATAGCCTGTGGGCACCAACTTCAAGGGCTGGGCCCGGCTTCTTGTCCACCGTGAGGGTGAGTTCCAGAGGCTGAGAAGGGACCCTCTCTGGTCGTGGCCTCGATTTCCCCCAACCGAGGCTTGAAACTGCAACTATCTATCTAAGGGGCTCAGGACATGGGACATGGTGAGAGACAGGGGCAGAGTGGGTGGGGGCAACAAAAGAGCTCGGGGGAGGTCAGGGGTCAGGTCTGAGTGTTAATTTCACTTAGACCATCCAGACCACTCCAGATGAAGTTTGGAGTAGGGGGAGGTTGCTCCCCCCTCTCCCCGCCCAATGGATAAATGCCGGCTCTTCCCTCCGGTAGAACAAAATTGTTGCTTTAGATCAAGGATATAACCATTTAAGAGAACAGTGTAGCCCTCCCGGGGATTCCCATTGGAGCCCACGACCCGACACCCCCAGGATTTGGAGGGCGAATAGCCCGGCCCCTGTCCCCGGGGTGGAACCGTGTAGTGCGCGCTATACGCGGTCCCCTAGGGCCGCCGGCCGGCTGAGCACCCGCCGCCCACGCATCGTCTGCCTGTTGACGCCGCTGCAGGGCTCCTCCCTGTCACGTTCCTGCCCGCCACCGGTCTTCCCGTTACCCAACCTGCCTTCCCCTCAGGGTCGAGTTCCGGAGGCTGTACCCCAAGCCAAGGCAAGGCAAGACAGGTCCCTGGGGAAAAGGTGGGAGGACCTAGGCATGGGCTCTGAGCAGCGACAGGTAGTTTTGTCCACGGACACCACGCGTGTTTTATTGGTGGATACACACACAGGTACGGGGAAAGGAGCCCCCGACTGTGGATGCAAACTCCAGGCCCCCACCGCGGAGGGGGTCGTAACTGTTGTGTCTGCTCTAAGGACGCTGGGAGGCTGGGGCGCCGGCAGGTGTGGGGGCATGACCCCTGGGTCCTCTACCGCGGCCAGCTGTCAGCAGTGGGCAGCCGGCGCAGGGGGGGCCCGGGCCGTAGGGGCTCTGCCAGAGGCCGGGCCAGGAGCAAGGGGTAGGGGAAGGTCTTGGGAAAGTCTCCAGGGCCCCCGGGGGCCGGCGAGAGGCGCTCAGACTTGATGCTGACTGGGGGGGTCGACGGGGAGGCGCCGCGGGCGGGGGCACCCTCCTCGCCCAGGCTGCGGAGCCCACTGCAGGGAGAGAGAGAAGGGGTACCGTTATCTCAGCGAGGAACGGAGGGAAGCCAGGGAGATGGCACAGCTTGGGCAGAAGGTTCGGCGGGAGGACTTTGGGAAAGAAGTGAGTGGATTTTCCTCCTGGGGCCTCCCAAATTGCCGCCCATCCCCACCGGGGACAATCTATAGGGGCTGAGTGCAGAACCAGGAGTGGCCACTAGGGGTCAGCAGCGGCTCGGGCTTCGGAAGACTTGGAGGGGCCCCACCAGACCGACTGAGGCAGGGCTAAGGGACGGCGGTGGGGGCACTTACCTGGGCTGGGCAGGGGTGGCTGGGGCTCCATCACCCCTGGAGGGCTGCCAGGGGGCCAGGGTGGGGGGCTGCAGCAAACCGGGAGGCGGAGGAGGGTCTCCCAGGCCATATTCTGGGGGGTAGGAGGAATAAGCTGAGGCCTTGACGTTCGGGAGCCCCTTGCCCACGCCTGACCCATCCCTCAAGCCAGTTTTCAGTTTTGGTGGTGGGCCAGGGGATGTGGGCAGCAGAGCAGGCAGATGTGTGGATGCCCCCACACGGTAGGGGGTTCGTACCTGGGGGGCCTGCAGGGAGGAAGGGGAAGCTCCCAAGCGGGGGTCCGGGGGCGGAGGCGGAGCACGGACTCTGCAGGCTACCATAGAGACCTCTCTGTGGGGAGACAAGTGAAGGGGAACCTGAAGCCCACACCCAGGCCACCTGCCTGCCCACCTCCGCCCTGCCACACCTTCCCTCTGCTCACCGAGGTGCTCAGTCCCCCTCGGGCCCCGGCCAGGCCACCAGGCAGGTCCGGCCTCCGCCCATCTGCTGCCAGGTACAGGGGTGGGGGTGTCTTGCTGGCAAGGTGGCTTGGTGAAAAGAGAGGGTGCGCCAGGCCTGGGGAGCAGGAGACCCCCAGAGAGAGGGCAGGCAGCCATGTCATTTAATGAAGTCTGAGGCCCAGAGGTGATGTACACAGCCAGCAGCGCCAGTCAAGATTCCCCCTGCAAGCCCTCCTGGGACCCTGCACCCACTCCTCCCCTAGGCCTAGGCCCCATGCTCACCTGGGGGCCCAGCTTTGGGGGCTGCTGGCCGGAAGGGGGATGGGCGGCTCTGGGCAGGCAGGGCCTCCCCTAGCCCAGTGGGGTCACAGCTTGGTGGGGGCAGGGCCCCATATACCACGTCCGGGCTGGGCATAGTCGGGGCTGCTGGCTGAGGGCAGAGAGGATGGGATTGGAGGAATGTGGAGATGAGGGCATCAAGTCCAAAAAAGAAAATCGCAGTGCATTCCGGGGTCAGCCTCCACCTTCAGGGAGCTCTTGATGTTCCTCCCTCTGGCCCAGCCCCACATGGCCCAGGAGCCTGTGTCTGGTTCTGTCATCCCTCAACCATTAGGCCAGGAGCTGAGTCTTACTCAGTCCGGCTGGCACTGAGGAGGCTTCCCAGGGTGTTTGATGAATCAAAGAAATAAGGCAGGAATGAGCTGCCTATTGAACTCTCATTCATCCTTCAAAGCCCCAGCTATCATACCCACTCCTCCAGGAATCCTTCACTGCCCACCCAGGCAGATACCTGCCACCAAACTCTAGGCTTCCTGGCCTTAGGTCCCTCAGTCTCAGCCTTGACCACTTGGGCCTAGGAGATGGAGAAAGGGCCCCATTCAGGGGGTCACTTACGTAGAGCCGGGGCCTGGGCAAGGCGGGGTCACCCCCATCACCTGCCAGCCTCCGCAGCTTCTCTCCTGGCCCGTCAGGTCCATCATCTGGCTCCAGCTCTGGTCCGTCAAGGCCCACACCCCTCCGCTTCAGTGTCTGTGGAGGGGGGAGACAACAGAGTGGGCCTCCCCTATCACAGCCAGGAAACCTGGTTCTATGGGAAAGAGGCTAGACCTATCCTATCTAGCTCAGTAGGTAGGTGGAGTGCAGGCACAGCCTGTTCCAGCCAAATCCCATTGACTAAAAGCCCTAATGTCCCCAAAAGCACGTGAGAGAGGGACTGTCCTCCCTGGCACCAGAGAGGCCCAGGTTGCACAGTGAGTGCACAGATCCACGCACAGGCCTGCCGGCATTGTCCTAAGGCTCCTCCTGAGTATGACTCTGCATCCACATGCAGCCTCAGAGCCTGGCATGCAGTAGATGCTTATAAATGTTAGCAGAATGAATGCCTAAGGACAACTTTATAGGTTTTCCTAAGCTGTCTTTCCCTTGGACCCCTGCCTTTCCTTTGCCAGCTTCTCCCCACCCTCTGGAAACACTGGGTGCCAGAGTCCCAGGTCCACTGCTCTCTCCAGCCCTGTGACCTCAGCTTCCCATCCTGGGTAAGGATTCCTACATCCAAAGGGCAGCGATCTCGCCCCTCCTGGGGGTGCGGGGTGGGGGCTGACCCAGCTAGTGCAGGGGCTGTCCTGCCTCTTTCTCCAGAGGACACAGCTGCTCAGACACAAATTCTCCTAGACCACTGTGAGGTCTGCTCATTTCATGATGCCTTTTATTCTCTTTTTCTGTATTCATCAAACGGTGACAGGATTAAAGGAAATGATGTATGAGAAGCACAGAGCAGAGTCCCCAGGGCATGCTGGTTGCTTTTTTGTTTCTGCTGCCCAGGTAGCTCTCCCTGGAAGGCACCCCCATTTACCCCAAACCTGCCTTTACTGGCAACAAAGCCAGATTGCAACACCGATCTTTTGTGCAAACCAAGAGTGCCTAGGCTCTGAGCAAGCGGAATGTGGGGGGCTTCACAGGGCCAGGGAGAAGGACCAGGGGTACCTCGAGGATGTCAGTGTTGGTGCGGCTCTCGTGGGGCTCACTGTATTCTGTGTACTTCAGGAGCACGCGGTCCATGTCCGTGCTGGCATACTGAAAGAGGCGGTTGGCGCTGTTGAAGATGATGAGGGCGATCTCACAGTCACAGAGCACGCTCAGCTCATAGGCCTTCTTCATCAGCCCGAACTTGCGCTTGGTAAATGTCACCTGGACCCAGGAACCACAGGTGGGGTGGGGAAAGACAAGGACTTGGGGTGGTGTGGAGGAGTTGGAGAGGCCTAATTGTTCCCTGAGCATGCCTCATGATGCTGTGCCTTTGTGGGTTCTGTTCTTTCTGGCTGTACTGCATCTTCCTCCTCACTGCTCAGCCTGGCAAGCTCCTATTGGTGCTTCAAAACCCAGCCCAAATATCTCCTCCTTTGCTAAGTTTTTCTTGGCCTCCCAGGCAGAGCCCACACTCCCTCTCTGAGCTTCCCCAGTTCTGCACCTCCCTCTGGCCCAGTTGCCTGAGGTGGGTGTGTTAGTATCAAGCTCCATCTGCCCTCTGACTGGAGCACTAGTCCAGGGAGAAGAAATGAATAAATCATCATGAAATGAGCCCGTGCCTCATCTCAAACTCTGTATCAGAGCTCTCCACTCCCTTGCAGTTCTCCAGAATGACCAGGTCTTTCCCCAGGCCATGTTCCCTGTAGGAATGCCTTTTCTCCAACCACTGTTCTACCCAGCAAACTTACCTGCCGATTCCTTTGGTCCAGAATTCGTGAGATCTGGATTTTTTTTCTCCCCATTGTCTCAGGCTGGGCGGAGCAGCCTTGGTCTGGGAAGGAAGGAGAAGAAAGAGTGATGGGTGGAGAGGGGGGCCAAGTCCTCCAGCCTGGGGCCTGTCCTCTGCCTGCCCCTGCACTGAAGGGGAGGTGATGGGGAAGTCAGCCCAGGGAGCAGTGAGTGGTCAGTGAACGCCTTTGGGCCAATTCCACATGAAGAGAGGGCTGACCAAGGGCCAAAGATCAAGTGCAGGTGCCCCTGCCAATGTCTGAAACAAAACACACTGGTAACCATGAGACCTTGGGGGTGCCTGGCCTCCTTAGACCCCCCTGTCTGTGCAGTGGGGATAACATTGTTGTGCACTGCCCAACGTTGTCGGGAGATTAAATGAGCTAACCCACGTGAGGCATTCACATCTGCCCAGCCCACAGCAGATCCCACATACGCGCTGCTATTATGAATATTGGCAACAGCCTAAAAGCCCTCGTCAGGCCAGACAGGAGAGACATCTGATGCACGGTACTCCGTGGTGCTCAGGAAGCATGAGTCAATTGAATCAGGAATTCTGAGCCACTGAAAGTAAGTCTGGTCCACGTATCAAGGACCTTTCAGCTCACTCAGTCCTGCCGCAGCCACCCGCCGAGCAAGATCGAGGGCTGTGGTTACAAGAAAACATCCATCAAAAATTGCATTTAGAGTAGAAAAAAGACTAGAAGGAAATGCTTATGATGAGAGTCATTGCAGGGTGGAAATTTACAGGTGAGTTGCGTTTCCCTTTAAAAAACTTTGAGGTGCAATTCACATAACATAAAAAAAGTAACCATTTTTAAAGTGTACCTGTCAGTGGCATTTGGTGCATTGATGGTATTGTGCAACCATCACCTCTATCTAGTTCCAGAACATTCCCAGCCTCCCAAAAGGAGACCCTGTCCCCATGAGCAATAACTCCCCTTCCCCGTCCCCCAGCCCCTGGCCACACTCATCTGCTTTCCGTCTCCATGGATGTGCCTGTGCTGGACGCTTCATATATGTGGGGTCACACAACAAGTGGCCTTTTGTTTCTTTTCAGCCCCCTTTTGATTATTTGAACTTTCTAATTTTTCTCCCATGATTATACATGTTTTCTGTTTAAAAAGAATCCCCCTGCCCCACTTCCTGGTGGGAAGAGGGGATGCCCTGAGAAGATGGTAAGCTTGGAGCCCTTAGAGTGGATGTGGGCCTGGGGCTCGGAGGCTTGGGAGACACCCTGGATCTTGGATCTCCCTGGCGGGGTCCCCAAGAGAGAGGACTGGCGGAGTAGGGAGGGCAGCACATCCCCACACGCTGTGCATTGGGTCCCGGACTTCCCCAGTGCTGACCACATACGGCCCCTCGGAGGGAAAGAATCCATTGCTTGTCCGGTAGCACCCACCCCACTGGACAGACATCTGCTCCAAGACCCCCAGGACTGCTCCACCAACTCTAAGACCACCCCTCACCTCCCATCCCTCTATGTCACAGGTGACAGAGGCTTCAGATGTGCTGTGGGCCTGCCCAGGGTCATACGGGCCTTTGCCTGGGTCCCAGCCAGCCTCTGACTCCCTGGGCGTCCCTCAGCAAGGGTGGCCATTCCCTAGGCCTTAGCTTGGGGTTCTGTGAATGGGATGGGTATCAAATACAAGCACCCACCGCAAGGCCTGGGGACAAGTTCTCAGGAAGTTCAAGGAAATGTGGATTTGTCTCTGGGAGGAGCCACCCCTACTCCCCAGACCCCAGCTCAGGGAGCCTGGGGAGGACCTTCCATTGTCACCGGGCCTGGGTACGTGAGCCCCCGGCCTTCGCATGCAGTCCACTCTGTAACCTCAGGCCTACCCCCCTCTCTCTCAGCTGCATCGCCGAATGGTCACAACTATGCAGAGCCCAGCCAATTGGAGCCCCCACTCTGGCCCCCCCAGCTCCAGCGGGACTGGCTAAATTTAACCTCTGGGGCTAATTTTAATCCCCTGCCGGAATGGGGTGAGTTCCCACGGCTGGGATGTGTTGCCCCTGCCCTGATGGGTCCCTGGGGATGGGAGCAGGGTCCTGGTCCAGAGATCCCAGTACCAAGATGGCTCCTGATATGCTCCCCACACTTGGGGTCCTGTGGGGACATGAGCCATGGACAGGAGTCTCAGGGCCTGGAAGATCCAACTCTGGCCCCTCGTCAGTCGTCCCCATCATGCCAGCAAGGGCAGGGTTCATGTCATGGGGGAGCCCCAAGAGCCAGAAGGTCGGTGGGGGTCTTGCTAAACTGAGACCCAAAAGCCAAGACAGGAAGTGAGTTCCAGGAATAAGGAACAGCAGGTGCAAAGGCCCTGAGGAGGGGCGGACAGAGCAAATAGGCTGGATGAGAAGGCTAAGGGGAGAGGCCGCAGACAGTCCTCTGAGCTGCAGGAGGGCCGGGGGTTTTGGTCTAAGAGTGGCGGAAGGCCGTGGGAGGGTTTCTAGCAAGAAGGGACAGGGTTTGGTACATCATTTAAAAATTTGGCAGGACTGCTGAGGGCCAGGGCAGAGGTGGCAGGAGACCAATGCAGAGGCCCCTTCTGTGCTAGGCCTGAATCATGCAGTGTATGTCACTCTCGTCCAGGGGTCTTTGGGTCCCTCGGAAGCCACCAGATTCTCTGCTCTCTTTGGGGCCAGGCCTGACAGGTACAGAAGGGCTCATGAAAGAGTTTGGCTCTTCTGGCCCTCAGTGACCCTGAAACCCCCAATTCTCACCCAGAAATCAAAGTCATTTCCCACTCTGGCCTTGAGGGATCTACTTAACACACAGCTCTGATCATGCCCCTTCCTGTCCATATACTCTCCATGACTCTCTACTGCCTTCAGAGGAAGTTCCAGTACCCCCCACCTGGCATTCAAGGCCCTGCTCCAATCAGCCTCTGCCCACCTTTCTCTACCTTCAACAAAATGCCTTTGCCTGAAAAGCCCTTTTGCTCCTGCTTCACCTAGCCAACTCCTCTTCATACATCAAAACCCAGCTCAAAAAATCCATTCTTAGCATAAGGAATATAGTCAAAATATTGTAACAACTTTGTATGGTGATAGCTGGTAGCTAGAATTATCATGTATATAAGTTGAATCACTGTGCTGGTAGCTAGAATTATCATGTATATAAGTTGAATCACTGTGTTGTACACCTGAAACTAATGTAATACTGTGTGTCAACTACCCTTCAATAAAAAAAGAAAAAAAAATCCATTCTTCCAGGACACTCCCCACTGTCACTCTGAACTCCACAGCTCCCATCCTTCTCCTCCAGTTCTAACCCAATGAAGATGGGAGGATCTATATCCAAGTATCTCCCCAAGACTGGAAGCCCCTCAGGACCAGACACAGGCATGGCCAGGAAGATTTCGTAAATGGAGAAGGTCAAGAGAGAGACACATCTGAACTCCCCCAGCTTCCCTCAACAACTTCCTCTCAGACTCCCCCAGCTGACTCCCTACCCAGAAATACATGTGCATGCAAATCCAGCTACTCAGCATTGACCTGTCTCAGGCCCAGGTGTGAAGGGCCAGCCAAGGAATGCGGAGGCGGAAGGCTCAGGGTGTGCATATATATTTGTACTCACATGCAAATCCCCACCCAGCCGCAGACAACCCGTGGCCAGTTCTCCAGATGTTGAGGTGATCAGAACTGCTTGGGGGAGGTGATGGTGCATGCTGAATGTGCCTGGCACAAGGGGGAGGCTGAGGTTGGGGGAGGCCTCTTCTGTGCACACATTCCCCATCCCCCCACCATAGTGTCCAGCCAGAAAGCAGAGAGCTTGTGGCACCTGCTCAGCAGAGAGGCAGAGAGAGGGACCCATCAATCCAGGGAATGGAGCAGCGAAGAGGGGGCAGGAGAAATCCAATAGGGAATCTGGGAGGAGGAAGCATGTAGTTGGCTTTGACAGAGTGGCTGGGTGGGGGCCTGGGCAGATGGGCAGGGGGTGGGCATTTGAAGCTCCTCCTGACCCCTTTTTTCTCATCCTTATACTTAGCATTTATTAAGTGTCAACCATGTGCCAACCACTTTGAGAAGCTGACCTCAAAAGAAGTAGAAAGTTTAAGTAGAGCAATGACCATAGAAGATCATAAAAGTGACTCAATTCCTACCAATAAAAGGGCAACAGGCCCAGATGGTTTTATGGCTGTTTTGTTGAATCTCAAAGGTGCAACGTTATTTAAACTAACTCAGACCTTTGAAAACAATAGGAATTCCATGTCATTTTTAGAAAACCTTTGTTATGTCAAAACCTAAATCTGAAAAGAGAAGTCTTAACCTCAAAAGGGACAATGTTAGCCAGGGATTTCAAGGAAGACCAGCCCAAGGAGGTGACATTTGAGTAGGGACCTGAAGCAGGAGAAAGAGACAGCCAAGCAAGGGACAGCTATGGGAAGATCTGGGGAAGGGTGTTCCCTGCACGGGAAGCACAATGGCTAAGGTCCAGAGCGATCATGAGTGTGGCATTTTAAAAGAATCAAAGAAGTCTGTGTGGTTGGGCAGCATGGTGAGGGGGAGAGGGTACAGCAGGAGGGAAGACAGTGGGGATGAGATTGCATAGGTCCTTGTGGTCCACAGTGAGGTGTATGAGCTTCACCCTTAGGGCAAGGGGGGCCATGCAGAGTGTGGGGGCTGAGGGGGGTCAGGATATGATTTCACAGTTGTAAAAAACCCCTTGGCACTCTGTGCTTTGCTGCAGGGAGGGGAATGAGGCACAGCCACTCCAGAAAATGATCTGGCATTTACTAAAGCTGAACATACGTCTAAGCTAGGACCCAGCAATCATTCTCAGTATTCACCCAAGAGAAACAGGCCTGTTTTTTACCAAAATACATAGACAAGAGTGTTTTCAGCAGCCTTATTCATGTTGACCCCAAACTGGAAACGACCTAAATGTCCCCAGTAGGTGAATCAGTAAATACATTCTGACAGCTCTTAGGATGGACTACGCAGCACAGAAAAAAGATACACTCTAGCTTCATGCAACCACATGCGATAACCTCTCAGACTGTGTGCCAATTCAACAATGCTGACTCGCACCAGGTG